TGCCCCGAACAGGTTGGCAATGGCTACTCCGCGCTGCTGGACCGCGCCGAGGCGGCTGGGCCCAGCTGGGGCTGGCGAGCTGCCAACAGCGCGATCCATCTCCTACTGGTAGGCTTCTGACAAGCGTCTCATGCTAGCCAGCTTCTTCGCGCCTTCGGCGAGCTGAAGGCGGCGCGCCTCCAACGTCTCCGCGTCAGCGTCTTCCAGAATGGGCGCAGTCAGGTCTTGTAGCGCCGCGCCAAGTGGGTCATGCGCTCCTCCGCCGAGAGGCTCGTCATGACTAATGACGAGCACCTCGGTGACGGTGCTTCCGTCGCTCTCCGCGCGAGGGAGAGGTTCGTCCTAGACCACCACATTAGTGGGGAATGCATGGAGCGACGCGGTGTCGGAGTCGACCAGCATCGTGTCGGTGGAGCCTACAGACTCCAAGTCCACGACAGGCTCGCCGGAGACGTGAAGTTGATCGAGGAGGCCCGCGAGGAGGCTCTCAGAGCCGCCCGTGCCTGCGTTGGATGCAGGTTCATCGGAGAGTCGAACCTCGCCGACAAGTTCGGCGAGGCAGCTGGCTATGCAGGCGATCTCAACGCCGTGCAGCACGTCAGCACTGACTCTGTCTGGCGTGCCTGGCTGGCTGCGCTCGCCAGGGAGGAAAAGGGTTCCCGTCCAGAACAGGTCTCCGGACGGCGGTGCACCAGGCCCCACGGTGGGCGCCAAATGTCGGGGGTTGGGTGCGAAATATGCCAAAGGATGGCTTATCATGGTGGGGGCGAGTAGAACGTCGCCGGTGTCTGGAAACGGGATGAGGCAAAGACATGCACGCCGGCGAATCTTACCCAGCTTCAGGGCACTCCGGGGAGATAATACCCCTACTGCTGCTCTGCGGGGTCTCCGCATGATCACTACGGCAAAGTGTTTACACGATTGCTCCTTGAGCTGTTTCCTGAAGGTAGGAGAAGGCAAGGCTAGCTCTCTCCTTCCTATATGGTCTGGTCTAGTGCTAATGGATTCCAACCCTTTGCATGGGTGCCCTGGGGGGTTTATATAGGCCTACCCCCCAGGGGTATAATGGTAATCCGGCTGGATGCGGGCCCAGCCATCAGTCTCTCTGGCCGCCATCTTATCCGCCGACTCCTGGGGCCCGCCGACTGGTGGGCCCCGCCGATTGGCTCGGTACGGAGCCGACAGGCCGCGTCCGCCACGGGCGGGTCTTGCCGGCTGCAGATTACTGTAGCCGTGCTTCTAATGACGCGGGCTTGGTCATGGGGTCGTGGCAACAGCTCCGCCGTCTGGCGGGCGATCACTGTTGCCATTCCCTGTCACATCTGGTTGATGGCGCGTGGGACCCGGGGGAGGAGCTGGCCGACTCCCGAGGGCCGACTCCGAACGAGTTCGACTGGTGGCGCACTTGCCGTCTTCTGGGGTCCCGCTGGCTGGTGGGACCCGCTGCCCCAAGGTCGTACGGACAAGTCGTCGTGGGCGCAGGATTCGGTCCACCGGCGCTGATGGCAGGGCTGCCATGGCAACAGTGCCACGCCACACGGAGATCTCCGCGAGTACGGCGTACTATAGCCATGCCTACCTCTAGAAAGGGGCGGGAGCAGGCTTCACTGTAGCCACTCCCCTGCCCTATCCCTCTTGATGAGGACAGGGGATTTGTTGGAGTCACGGGCCGACTCCCCAAGGCCGGCTTCTCGGGAAGCCGTCAGTCAAGAGTCGGCTTATCCTGAAGTCGTTCCTGGGGCTCGTCCGCGAGTGGCTAGTTGGTTGCCTTGCTGCCGACTTCTTAGAAGACGGCTTTTCGTCCTGGGGTCTTGAGGGGCGCAGCCTGCCCCGATGTCTTGAAAGGTTCTAGGACTCGGGTTAGCCTACCCGTGGTCCATTACTCCGACAGCAAATACACACAAAAATGAGTTACTAAGTGTAGGAAAAAATATGCGCGAAGATGGAGAGATCCAGAATAGGGTTGGAATTGCAAAATTTGGTTTTATATTAGTATTGAATATAAAAGAATTACCACATGATGAAATTGACATGGAAGGTTAATCTACGTGAAAGAGAAAAATGCCATCGTCTTACAAGTGGCAAATGGGACCAATAGTCACTCCAGCATAACCGATAACTTGACTGTTTATGAAAGCAACAAGTGAAAATATGCACTAATGATTGTCCATTGACATGATACATAAAACATAAAGGTCTCATGTACGCCTATTCAAAGGTGTAGTTATGCCCCAAGGCTGCTTGGGCCATTACCTAGGTCATGTTGCTGGATTTTGATTGTAGCACATTCGACATTGTTTAACAATGTAGCACGTGTTCGGCCTGGGCTTGCTCGGGCCTGGCCCTGTCCTGGCTGTGCCACTGCACCTATGATTAGTTCATGAGTGAGACCATAGATCAGACAACACATGTGGATATCATGTGTAAGATCAGGGTTACATCAAAACTAATGCACGACATGCTTGAGTTTTGTTATCCATGGGTTCTATATTTTTCTCTCCTTCTGATCCTTTATAATTCAAGGTCACCAAATGGATTGCTTCTATTATTTATTTTTCTCCTCTCTGATTAATGTGAGACTCTTTAGGAAGAATGTAATTAGTATTGATATAGTAATGTAATAATAAATAATGAAATTTACCATCGGTATTTTTGCATATCGGTTTTTGGGAACTCTAAAAATAATGATGTTAGAGAATTCTAGCATATCCCCTAGCATGAACTTCCAAAAGCCACTCATTGGGAGCCTCCCAAAAAATCAGGGTATTGGGAGGTTCTCTTCCAGCATATCCCCTAAACTTATATCATAATAAGTTCTGTTAGCTAATTATCACTCCTTTATGCATACAAACATCATTTCAACTACACTATTTATGTCATATTAATTCAATCATTGATGTACAGCCATACAAATCCAACAACATTTCAATCCATAATTTTTAAATCTTGAAATTTTAAAATTCAAATTAAGAAAAAACATAGGTCCAAGTGAAGTAAATAATTTAATAAAAACATGATGGTGCATGTATGAACTTGCCATGAAGTTCCCACAAGGGCTCCACAGGGTCATCTTAAAGTTGCTTACGCATATGTCAGTCTTCAACCTTTCTACGCGCTTTAAGAGATCTCTATATTATGTCTTTATGATGCTCAAGCATTCCAGGTATTCGTATTTAATAATACATAAAGTTCTCATTTTTGGCCTCTCTCATTCTCTATTATCTTTTATGCATGATTATATTTTTGTCATGGTCCTTCATAGTGTCTTTTGGTCCCATAATCTATTAGAACTGCTAACAATTGCAAAGCAACCTTGCAACACACTAAAGGCTCTTTCAACATTCTTTCTAATAGCTTATTTATCCTTGGCAAGCTCTTTTGTTGCCTTCGGGGTATGTGTTCACAAATCTGGACCATGAGAGATAGATATCATCTGCAAGATAGCGTCACATATCATACTAGTGACCATTTACTTGAAAGATGCAAGGTGGAGCATTCCCAACAAAAAGACTTACAAACAAAGGAGAAATTTGTTGGATTTGAGGTCATTATAAGAGCTAGGCATACCAAAGTAACAATGCCAAATCCATAGATTGAGGGATGCAACGACTTCAAGTATGATTCTTGAATCATGACAACGACTAGGGAATCACCCATGCCACGTTGTAGGGCAATTCCTCCATCTTTAGCACATGCAATCCATGCTCTCAAGCATCCTCGGGAACCCTAATTGATGTACCAATATCCATCAGCCTTGGAATGTCGTCTACATTGGTTGTTCTCAAGTACTCACTTCCGCAGAGCTCAATCACAAACTTTGCAAATTTCCCTACGCTCTTGATGGTGTCTTCATCTATGGTGTAAAGGTATTCATTTGTAGCTTCAGCTGGGGATCTATGATCATGCGCATTGCTGACATTATCTTCTAAGAAGCACATGTGCCAAGTTCTTTGGTTACATTTCTCTTCTGCTTGAGATAATCATGATTGTGTTCCACGACAGTTGCAATTCACAGGAAGAGCTCACTAGACATTCTAAAACGTTGCATGAGGAGTGCGTCGGGATACACCAAGTAATCCCTTACGAGACACGCATCAACTTCTTCCTAATACAGAAGATTGCACACACGCCCTGGCTGAGAACCATGCCTAAGTATTTTGTTGGTCTCCTCGTCGTGAATGATTAACTTCCATCCCCATCTTGAATTCATCTTCCTCCTCCTCCTCCTCGGATGAAAGTCTGAGAAAAACTCCCAAACAAGACTCCTCATTTGTGCATTGAATTAAACAATTAAACAGATGCAGATCTTCAAATGCAGTTTTGCTAAAAAAAATGAAAAGAAAAAGCATGCAACCATTTAGTTGAACACTTTGTGTGCGTCGCCGACGGAAGCTCGTGGTGGCCTACGGGAGCTCAAGGAGGCTGGGAAGTGTGTATGGGGGATTGAGCTGATTCTCCGCCTTGCTGAAGCTCGTGGCACGACATGGCCGCAACATTGCCTCCCTAAACGGCTACACGTGCGGCAACGGTGGTGAAGAGAGTTCCAGCTCGTGTGGTTGGGAATAGTGGAGGCGAGGATACTCGTCTCGGATGGCATGTGGTGTCTCCGGTGGGAGGAGGAGGGACAGCGATGGTTCCGATGATGATGATAGAAGGTAGTGACCGGGCAGTGAAATTTCTGCCATGGCATTTTCTTGTTTCACAGTGGGATTGAGATGCCCAAAACTTCCCCGAGTATTAGGAGCTAGATGATAATTTTTGGGAGGCCCCAAAAACTTTTGGGTGTCTGCCAGAGTAATAATTGAAGTCCTTTTGGGAGTTGTAGGTGTTTGAGGTGTTTGTTAGAATTGCTTTTAGTACTGTTTTCGGAGAAACTGTAATCCTTAGGTTATCCGTAGTGCAAAGTATCATACACTAATATCATGCATATTGCAACTCCATAGTACATAGTATCATAGGTTAGTATTTGATATGATCTTATTTACTGTTTTGCATGACGCATGGTAGCACATCACTTTATTCTTTCATGCATGCAGAACTACGTGGCAACTTGCTCCACATGGTACTGGGTTTTGACTGTCCTCCAGGTAAACCTAACCGCGTTTCTTCACCTCATTAATCAACCACATTCCATACAAAATTGATCCGTAGTTACGACTTTTATGGTTCTGGGATTCAAGGAAGTTCCTATGCCAATGGCTAAACTGCCTGAAAATGTCATCACTATCTAGTATAACTAGGTGATTTCCCCGCGCGTTGCTGCAAGATTTTAAAGACTAATTTGGATACATTCTAAATGAAATGATCTAAATCGAAAGCTATTATTTTTTAAAGTAATTATATGTGAACAAAGAGTATGCATGTACATTGGACTATTGAAGATGGAACAATTAAATTAGGGTATGCATGTGCTACAAAATAATTATAGTGGATGATGAAGTGGTACATTTTATAATGTGGAGGGCTGCATGTTGAGAAAATTAGACTTAATGTGGATCAACTATTTGTGTATTATAGACTTGAAAGCAATTCTCTCGCAGGTTGTAACCATCATCCTTTTTGTCTTCGCTTTCGATTTGCATCTTCGCTGCAACAACTAAGGCCCTGATCGGTACCGCTCCACTCCACAACTCCAGGAGCGGAATTGGCGAAGCTGCGGTTTCCCCTCTCCGCAGATTCTGGGAGCGGGTGATTACCGAACAGGGCCTAACATACATATTGTTGTCATCTTGTATCATCTCGTAGTCAGCGCTTCATATTACAGCCATCCCTCCCGTGTTACACTAACACAACTCCTTACCAGTTGGATATGTAAGCAAATCCCGGTGTCAGTTGGTGTTATGGCCGGTTTAGCTAGGCCCACCGAGCATCTTAGCCCACAAGTTATCTTAGGTTAATTCTTACGCAAGTTATCTTAGGCAAGTTATCTTAGGCAAGTTATCTTAGGCTAAAGTTATAAATACTAGTTGTAAGACACCGTTTGAGATTAAGCAATAAAGATAGTTCTATCATATTGCCCGGCTCCAGAGGAGCCGAAACCCTAGCCGCCGCCGGCCTTCTTCTCCCTCGCGACGACGCCAACACGCCGGAGCCGCCGCCCTCGCCCCCAACCCTCGCTATTCTGCCCGTATAACCTACGGAGTAGAGCCGGTAGGAACCCTAGCCCTACCAATTTGGTATCAGGTACCCGGGTTTCGACCATGTCTTCACCGCCTCCAATTCCGCCACCGCCGCCACCACCGTCGCTGCCCGTCAACTCCTCCACCGCCGTCGCCTCCGCACCGGGCGCCACGGCCTCGCTCCTGGCGGGCGTCACGGCGTCGCTCTCGGCGCCGCCCCTCCAGGCACCCGGCACCGCGCCGGGCCACGGGCGGCCACCAGCTCCCGTCCAACCTACGCCGCCGCCATCACCTCCCCCGCAGACGCAGCAGTTCACACCGGAGGCAATGGCCGGCGTCCTCACCGACCTCGTCGCCGCGGTCCAGGGCATCCGCCTCTACCTGGCTAGCCCGTACGGGCCGCCCCCGCAGCTCCATCCGGACGTGACCGCGGGACAGTCGGCGCTGCCATGGTACTCCATCCCCGCGGCCATCACCGGGGGTTACCCGGCGCTGCCCTCACCGGTGGCTCCGACGCCGCCTTGGCCACAGTGGCCGACACCAGCGCTCGCGGCGCCACCCGCACCGCCAGCAGCCGCCCAGGGCCTGCAGTGGCCGGCCTACTCCGTCCCCGCGGCCATCGCCGGGGGCTACCCGGTACTACCATCGCCGGCCGCTTCCATGCCTCCCTGGCCCCAATGGCCGACGCCAGCGCTCACGGCACCACCCGCGCCACCAGCAGCCGCCCAGGGCCCGCAGTGGCCGGCCTGGGCTGCGCCACCCACCGTCTCGCTGTCCCTCCCTGCGGCCACCGTGCAGGTGCCACCACCGCCCCTGCCAGCCCTAGCCTGGGCCGGTCCGCGCCGAGCGGCCTTCCGATCCAGGAGGTCCGTTTTCCCTCATCACCGTCTCCGCTTCCAGGATGGCTCCACAGGACGTCCCATCCACCGGCTTATACGGAGGCCCGGCCGTCGTTGGGTTCCCAGTTGCAGCCCGAGGCGTCAGGCGCCACGGGGAACTACGCCGGCCTTCCCACCATGGACCGGGCGCCGTCATCAGCCCTCCGCCCCACCGAGGCAGTGGGCCATGGCGCGCCCCACCAGCAGCCGCCCCGGTTCGCCAAGCTCGATTTCGCCACGTATGACGGCACGGAAGACCCCCTCAACTGGCTCAACCAGTGTGACCAGTTCTTTCGCGGGTAGCGCACCCTCGCCTCGGACCGTACCTGGCTCGCCTCTTATCACCTCCGCGGCGCCGCGCAGACATGGTACTACGCTCTCGAGCAGGACGAGGGCGCCATGCCTCCTTGGGAGCGCTTCCGCGAGCTATGCCTCCTCCGCTTTGGGCCCCCGGTTTGCGGGAGCCGCCTGGCGGAGCTCGGCCGCCTTCCCTTCACCTCCACGGTGCAGGACTACGCCGACCGTTTCCAGGCCATGGCATGCCATGCGTCGGGGGTGACGGCACAGCAGCGGGCGACCTCTTTGTCGGTGGCCTTCCGGATCACATCCGCGTGGACGTTGAGCTTCGGGGACCCCAGGATCTCCAGTCGGCCATGTACTACGCCCGCGCGTTCGAGCGCCGCGCGGTGGCCATCCAACAGGAATCACCGTTCCGGACCGCTGGGTCGCTACCCGGGCCGGATTCCGCACAGGCTTCTGCGGCACCCCTCGCCGCAACCGCGGGACGCCCGTTCCGCCGGCTCACCCCAGCCGAGCTCCTCGAGCGTCGCCGCAAAGGATTGTGCTTCAACTGCGACGAGCCCTACACGCCCGGCCATGCCTGCCCGCGACTCTTCTACCTGGAGGCTGCAGACTACATTCCGGAGGACGCCGTCGCCGCTGACCTGGCCGCCCCAGCTGTCGAGAAGGTGCTTGACGCTGGCTGATCGCCTCAAGGAGTTCCGCAAACGCTTCCCACCTTACAACTCGAGGACGAGCTGTTTGTGCAGGCGGGGAGAAGTGTTATGGCCGGTTTAGCTAGGCCCACCGGGCATCTTAGCCCACAATTTATCTTAGGTTAATTCTTACGCAAGTTATCTTAGGCAAGTTATCTTAGGCTAAAGTTATAAATACTAGTTGTAAGACACCGTTTGAGATTAAGCAATAAAGATAGTTCTATCATATTGCCCGGCTCCAGAGGAGCCGGAACCCTAGCCGCACCAAACCCTAGCCGCCGCCGGCCTTCTTCTCCCTCGCGACGGCGCCAACACGCCGGAGCCGCCGCCCTCGCCCCCAACCCTCGCTATTCTGCCCGTATAACCTACGGAGTAGAGTCGGTAGGAACCCTAGCCCTACCAGTTGGAGTGTCCATGTACCAGGCAGCAGGTTTGGTGCAAGGGAAGAGGGCGCTATCATCAAGAGCAAACAATCAAACCAGCCCGAAAGCTCATCAGATATTAGTATACTGCTTGTTTGGTGTCACCGCCGGTGTCCTTGCCGGTCTGCTTGGGGTCGGTGGGGGCGTCGTCATGGGACCTCTCTTCCTGGAGCTCGGTATCCATCCTCAGGTGAAAAGGAGAAAGAATACTTTGTTCATCGCAGAAACAAAAACTTTGTTTACCAGATGCTTCAACCATTTGATGGTGTTCTATTTGTACTTTTCATTCATTCATTCATCGCATATTTGAGCTGTTGGTATGTGCCATTACACTGGTGCAGGTCTCGAGTGCGACGGGCAGCTTTGCGATGATGTTCTCATCTTCCATGGCGGCCATGGAATACTACCTCCTGAAACGGTTCCCTGTACCGTACGGTACTGTCTCTTTCTCTGTTTCTCCTATGGGGGTAGTGATCATGCACTGCTATCTTACTATTTTTGTCTGAAATTTGTGCAGCTCTCTTCTTCACTAGCCTGACATTTGTTGCCGCGATTGTTGGCCAGCGGGTCGCAAGGAAACTGGTCAATTGGCTAGGGCGGGCATCATTTATCATCTTCATATTGTCCTCCATGATCTTCGTCAGCGCGATTTCTCTAGGTACCTTTACCGGTTTCCCTCTCACTGCAACCATTCCATTCAGGTTACGTGGTCTCATACCCAATACAAGAAGCTCTTAAATCGACTGTCTTCAGGTGGAGTCGGCATCTCCAAGACGACTCACAAGATGGCGCGGCACGAGTACATGGGATTCGGCAACATTTGCAACTATCATGCGTAGGAAGGACGCATACAAGAACAGCGTGATGATTGTGCAGTTTCAGTGGATGGAATGCTGTGATGTTTGCTTGCAGATGCCAAGTTAAACCACATGGCCAGGAGATAAGAATTCCAGCCAGTACCTTCCAACGTACGAGTTGTATTTGCTAGTCACCCAATGTAAATGTACCTTCAGATGGATAAACCGTAATTCTTAATAGATTTATGCTATTTCTGACTTGTGGTAAGTTTAGAGCTCCTACTCCATCCCATAATGTAAGATGTTAGTGTAAAAAAATGTCTTACATTATGGGACGGAGGGAGTACTTTTCAGAATGCCTTCCTTCATAGGAGTCAAAAAGTAACTCATGTTAATTTCTGCCAGCAGATAAAAGAACACACAAGCAGCAACAATTTCAAACAACTCAGATATTACAGGTGCGCAGCACAAAACATATCATCCGTTCCTCTATACAGTTTATGCCCAACACTTGTGTGATCATATTGTGCTTATTCACCATATGCTTTATTCCAAGATATCCGCAAGCAAGCAAGCTGACACTTCTACAAAAACGCCAGGATCGGCAAAACTAACTCGTCTTATGAACACACACACACACACACACACACACACACACACACACACACACACACACACTTATCAGCGTGGACGCAGCACAAACATGAGAACTGGAAGAGTTTCCTTATTACCTCAATTTTGCATAGGCGGTAGGCAGCACGCATACACATATCAAAGCTTCTTCGGGAACTTGTATGTTTTCTTGAGGAACTTTGTGGCCGCCTCATCATACCGGTAGCACAAAACTCGCAGGATAGTGTTCGGGTCATTTGCGCTCCACTGGGCGGGCACACGAGGAGGTTTCGGGAAGCTAGATTTGGTTGGAGATCCCTGGCGTTCAGTAATCACTTGCTTGAAACGCTGGATGGGGGATTCTGTATCTGTTCGTAGGAGTGGCAGAACGCTCTTCACCTCCGATGAAGCCTTGTCAACCAGTTCATGTGGCAGGCCATCACCATTTGCCAAGTACAATCCTCTGAGGGCTCTGAAATCATTCTCTATGATCTGAGCGTCTTGAAGGGTGAAAGCACGTGTAGGTCCACCAGCAAGAAGCACCAGCAGGAACCCATCAAAGGAAGCTTTCATCAACGCGGTTATGAGATGGTCCCGCGGCTCATTACGCATTATGCCAGATATCACCCCAAGGGTAGAGTGAAGTTCTCTCAACAAAGGCTCCACCCTGTTTGACGCAGCACCACCAACATACAGCATGTCCAAGAGAACATGACTCAAATAACTGAATACCACCTTATGTGCTGTTGCGTCACACAGCTGACGGATGCCGTCTTGGCAACTTGCCTGGGATAGCTCAAACTTGATGTTCATTCCGTCAGTGGTGCCAATACCATCCTGAGATAATTCACTGTTCCGCAAACATTTTTTCGCCTTCTTCTTCAGATTCTCCACCTCAGTCCGGATGTAATGGAATGTATTTATTTGTACACAGAGTTCAGAAAGATCACATCCTTCCGACTTTCCAGTAGAAGATCCAACTTGCGATCCGCGATTCAGAAGAGCATGTGGCTTTTCCTTTTTCTTGAATAATTTGGATCCAACGTCGCATCTTGTTAAATGAGGCAGTTGTGGAGTAGCAGTACTCTCGGTCCCTGTGCACCAATGCTAAATGAATCCACCCTCGGTAAATTGAAATAATTTTACGGGAAAATAAGCTTCATGCTCAGACATACCATGGCAAGCTTTCGCTTTCGAGACATAATACTGTAGAATCCCATCTAGTCCAGCTGTTAAATCAGAAATCAAAGTAGAGTGCATTGATATGGGCAACTGAAAAAACGCATCTAAAATTTCATCAACCATCCTTAGCATCTCCATGGAAGAAGGAGCAAAGCTCTGCCTGTTAGCTTTTGGATTCCATGTCTGCATGCAGATTCACAAAATTAGAAGAATACTGGCATAGTGGTACGGTTATTCTGTAGTGATACCAGACTATACAGCATTGCGCAAAATAATGTGACAGAGCTCTTGGCATTCAATGATATCGACTATCCAATAGATGGTTGAGAATGGCTGCATATCAAAATATGCTAATCACTCAAGAAAGATATGCAATTGCAACATAGGAAAATGCACCTTCTATTATCCATATTAAAGTACAACACTAGTAGTTTATAACGTGCATCAGCCAGCTGCAGAAATAGACCAGCTGCAGAAATAGACTAATCTGATATAATAGCAAATATGAATAACATTGTAAAAGGCTAAATAACTGAATTTGCATGGTTACTACTATAGAAGTATAGATACGGTATGGGACATTGAGTAGGATCACCTCCTGCTGTAAACTTTGGTCAACCCATTCTTTAAGTTTGTCCACTCGTTCTTTCATCCAACCTTTGACCAGAGCAGAAATTGCATTTTCAGCTTCATACGGTGGCATCTGTCTAATCAATGACTTGCCTCCGTCATCACTATCCAGAAAGTCTTCAACTGCAATATTAACCAGATTCTTCTCTAACTTGTCAGCAGCGTTAAGCACTTGAGCCGTGTCTGGTGTGAACTTTGTACGCCCAACCATAAATTGCTTCAGCTCATTACCAAAGCAAGAATGAAGGGTTGTAACTGCAACACCAGAAGCAAGCGGGTGCCATTTCTTCAGTATTGGACTGTAGATATTTTTCTCCTTCGAAGCAAGGTCACTAATATCCTTCGCGAGGATTGCAAGAACTGGCACAGGATTCCTTGATGATCGCTTTGAGTCTGCCTCATCCATTCTCTGCACAAATCAACAGAGCGTCAGAATCAATGCATATTACTGGCATGAACACCAGAACGAGTGTCAACAGGCCAATATTAAGATCAAGCATTTTTTTAACGCTCCCTAAAACTATAAATACGCAGATTAGTATTGCTGACAGTGATCAGTGATGTTTAATGTCCAATTTTGTAGCACGTTTAAAAACCATTGTCTCATGGTGACATAAAAGGAAATGGTGATAGTAACAATAAATGAGTATGAGACTTGCATTATTCGTCCTTTGAGTGAAGTGAGCCCAGCAGAACAATTCACAGTTTAAACTTACTTGAGCAAAAGCAGTACGGAGCGAGGACCGTATATAGGTTTCGATCTTGCCACGCACCACATCAGTCTTTTGTTTCCTTTTACCAGGGTATTTTTGAGATATATCTTCAAGAAGAATCTTCGCAGCTGAGACTCCTATTGCGACAATACCTTGCATCGAAACAATATTGCTAGCATTGAAAGTTTCATGGTAAGCTAGCAATCTTTTCTCTGTCCAACCCGTTATGGAACTTAAAATGGAGATCAATATGTCACAGTAATCTGGATCTTCTGTGGTTTTTGCATCTTTTACAACTACACTTAATTGATTCTCTGCAGCAGAAAGTAACTCCATATCTACTTGGTCTGATGTGGCAAAATGGTTGAACAACGCCCAGGTAAAGCAGAGATTGTGAAGCATCTGATTAATCCCAAGAATAACCCAAGTCTTCTTCAATAACCCCATCACTTCATCAATTTCATCAACCACAGTACCATTCTCACAATCAAAGCAAGCTTCTACCAACATTTGATAGATATGAAGATTGAATGGAAAGCCATCTGCCCAGTGACATTCATCAGAAATTCCACCTAGGGACCTACCAGCAAGGGACTTCACCGCACTGGATAGTTCCTGCATCGATTCCAAGTTCTTCTCGGTTTTAAGTGACTTATCATATGCTCTACTTATTATCTCTCGCAATGTCTGTGCATAAATGTCTGATTTGCTCAAGGGAATAAGTGGGTGAACCAGCAAACCAGCCTCAAGAAGCTTCAAGTTCCTAAACTGCCAGGCCTCGTACTCATGTGGATCAGGGAAATCTGATGCTTTAGATCGCTGCAGAAACTCTAAGGGCAAAATCATTGATTCTGCACGTCTACCTAGCTGCTTGAAGAAGAAAAGGTGGAATTAATCTTAATGGTCAAACTATTTTTGTACATGACAGAGATCTCTATTGTTTTACATGAATAAGTTCACATAGATGACGGTGGCTCAACTATACAAGTTAATGGTGCTCAAAGCAATTCACTTCCTAAAATAGAATGACTGCCAGTGTTAGAGCTTGACAAGTCCAGAACAAACAAGAATGTCGTACCAACTTAGCTCTATCTTGAAAAAAAAAACTAACATACAGTTCATGTCTGATATGTCTAAAAGGAGACATGCATTTCAGGTTTTGCATGTCAATAATGACCTGAAATCAGAACAAAATAAGAATCAAAGGTACCCAAACAAATCTTAACGAGAGGGATATAAATATTAAATTCCATTTTTTCCACATCTCACAGGTAGAGCATATATTGGTTATGATTTCAATGCTCAGTTTCTGCTAATCTATTCAGGTTATTGTTGCCAAAATGCTATGTGAGCAGTGAATAACTGAAGTATCTTTTTCCTTACATGGAATGACTGAAGTATTGACAGTGATAAGAATGAACGACTGATACAAGTCCATGAAAATATCCAATGGCAAATTATTCTTGACAGTTCACAGAGATTGTATCAGATAACTTATACCATAACTGCTAAACACCGCAACTGAAGTTTGAACAGTTCACCTTAGGAAACACAATTAGCAAATTTATACTCAGAGCTTGACGGGATGAAAAAAAAAATGAATATCACTACTTGTTTGATTTCATATTACACCCACAACATTATCTAAAAAAACTCTTATATGCAGAACCGAATACCAGGTTGACATGGACAATTTTTCTCCGTTGCCAATACCGGTCATAATTGGAGCCTATGTCTGCACTCAGGCGGTCAAAGCAAGAAAACACCATCATTAAGCAACCATTGGAGCATAAAGTACAGGCTGCCAAAGGACAGAGACCATGAAGAAGGGAATAGGTACTTGCATCAATGATTCATGCAATATATCACTGCATTAAATTGTCATGCAGCAAAAAAAAACGAGCAAATTCCTTTCCACTTAATTACTCTACCTTATAAAAAAGCAGCTGGTCACCACATATCAGTTGCGATCTTAACCAATATAATACCTCAAGGAAAGTAAATTCCATA